CCCCGTATGAAGGTTACTTTTTATTCAAAAAGGTTACTTTTTTTTATATTTCTGGTAATTTCTGACTAGACCCGACTGGCAACACTGAACACTGCTGTCCGCTTTCAATGACGAAATCGACGTCGGCGCTGACGCTTGGCACAAGCGGGTGTTTGTTTTTAATGTTAAAGAAATTATCAACAAAGGCATTCCTTGAGCGAGGGTCGATGGTTTTAATTTTTTTAAGGCTGTCTGCTTTCATTTTTTGTAGCCTTTGTTCGTATGCGAGGTTTTTCCAAGAAAGACATGTGTCTATATCAGCTATACATTCTGAAGGGCAGGTTCCGATAGCGAATAACAGTCTGGATCTACCAAAGTACGCGTCCAACATTGCCTCAGAACCCTCAGGCGCACATCTGATTGCACAGTTATACATTTCGAAAGCATTCCTGTAGTTTTTATTATTGAGGGCCTGGTCTCCAACATGACATGCCCTATGCGAAAAGTTCGCTGATTTCGGCTCTTTTTTAATGATAGGAATGTTATTTATCTTAAGTGATTTTATTGCAATCACAACAGCTTCCCCTATGTCACCTTGCTGTATCGATCTATAAAAATCTTCTATTGAACCCGTCTGGTTTAACAGATGTTCAAGTAATACTGGATTGCAAAAATCATACATTTTTATGTGCAGCTGTCATTAGGTGCATGTGAAGAAATAGGAGGCACATCGATTAAACGCGGACTGTATGATCCTACCTAAAACAAAAAGAAAATACCAATAAATATTTAATCAAAGTAGTCGCAATAGCAACACAACTACTTAATCCAATTTCTATATTTTTCATCTAAGTTCTTCAACGTTGCAGTTGATGATTAGTACCTTCTTAGTAGGTCATCAAGAAAGATGCTTAACAATACATCATGAAAAAAAAAAATGTAGAGGGCTAAGGTTACATTCAAGTTTTTAAGGTAGTTAGTGTTAAAAGTTTAAAAAGTTTGGCTACTTACTTTGAAAGCCAATAGTGGTTATTTAAACTTCATTGTTGGCTGCAGACGGTGAAGTTATCAGATCAACTGCTCTGAAGTTTTTTTTTACTTAGGTACCTATCTACTGCTTATCAACGTTATCGATGATAAAACAAACATATTATTACGGCCCCTCTACACGATCGCAGATGCAGATGATCAGCGAGGCGAGTTGCCAGTTTTTATCACGCACGGGGAATACCGAGCACCTACTACCACAACTACTATTACCTACGTAACTAAAGCCTGAGCCCCGATTACGGTAACTTTTATAACGTCTACAATCCAGACGCGTTTCTGATTCTGCGATACGATTGGTTAAAACAGCTGACGTACGCTGTTGAACGACCAATCGTATCGCAGAATCGAGAAGCGTGTCTGGATTGTTGACGTTAAAAATTACCGTAATCGGGGCTCAGGTCCGTGAGCACGTAGAATTTTGTCCAATGACCCCATTGCTGTTGCAACTGTGTGACGGGCGCCCGCAGTCAGTGTGCGAGCGCGACAGAAACATAATTACGCACGAGCAATAAGGATGGGTAGCTTGGGGTCATTGGACAAAATTCTACGTGCTCACGGACCAGGCTTTACCTACCTATACAATCCGGTCAAGTTAACTGCAAACCTCGCTGGAAATGCTGGAATGCGACTCCCTCGCACTCAACCGCGCCCCTCTCCGTGTTTGCCCGTGCGTATAATATTATATAGCGTCAAGTCTGTTCAAGTCGATGTGACGCCACAGTCGCTAGGTGCGCAGTTAACTTTGTGCGGTTGGTTGAAGTAATGATTGAATAACAGCGAAAATTAGGATGACAGACCTAAATTTTTTGGGGTTCCGTACTCAAAGCGTAAAAACGGGATTCTATTACTATGAATTCCACCGTCGCGTCCGGCCGTCTGTGTAAACAACTATCTCATGAATTTTGAAATTTTCACAGAAGTACACACATTTTCTGTTGCCATTACTATTATCAAATACAATTAACACTATAAAAATAAACATTATGCGGGGTTTTCCAACATCAAACGTGATTTTTTGCCGTTTTTTGCTCGAAAACCTTTTATGAAATCTACAAGTTTGTACGGAACCATTGCATTGGTGTGCGAGTCAGCCAGTGACACTCGCCCTTGGCCAATTTTAAAGATTTCAAAAAAGAGCGAAGTAACGTTCATTGCAGATTGTTTAAAGCCAGCTTAACATTTGCAGGTCTAGAAAAAGTGCACTTTTTGATCGAATCCGTCAAAACATACAAAAAAAGGCCTTTCGACAATGATATTATATAAAAATTGCCTTTCGACCACTTTTCGACTGGTTTGCGATTATAATGTGCACTTTGTCTAGAGTCTAGACCCACTGTTCAGGTATGTAATTTTTATGAGGAAGTAGGTATTAGACTCTGTTAGTAGTATGTTATCTAAATAACCTAAGTAGGTATAATAAATTAGTTTCGAAATCATTGTGTCTGCAAAAAGTAGGTACTTTCGTAACTATAAACAACAGAAAAGTTCTTACTTTTTTTTATTTCAATCAGAGTTTCACAGTCTGTTAAAATAGTGTTCATAAAATAATCCAAATCCAAGTAAATCCGTCAACTGCAATCTGCAATCTGTTTTTGGTCAAAATATCCACAGAAGTAAACATTTGTTGGGGAAGTGTAAACAGCATAAATTGATTTTATTCAACACACGATTGGCTTAAAAGAGCTGTACCAAGAGCTGTGGTGAAATATAATTAAAAAAAAAAACATTCATTCTTTCATTCATTCATTCATTCCTTCACTTTTGTGCAAATTCAAAAGCAGAAGCTGCAGAAGAAAATTTTGTTTGTTTGGAAAATTTAAAGGTGTCGATAGTATTCGTATTAATGTAAGTTTAAAATTAACTTAGATCCGATTTTGTTTCACGTTATTTAAATTTACAAAAGAGAAATTAAAGTACCTACACAGCAATTCAGGCTTGAAGGGGAGAGTACTTAGATCTTAGTTTTTCAGCAAATAACTGTATTGCATAGATAAGAATTATACAAGTAAATAATTTAAAAGACTTCGAGTTCGAGTTATTAAGGGGTTGCTGCTAGTGTTATGTGATTTGTTGGATATTCTCAAGGTAATTTTTCATTGTTATTCTTTTCAGAGTTATGTGGCGTTCACCAGCTTTTTTTCAAGAGATTCTCAACCAACAAGGGTTAGTTGGCAAATTATATGATGCCATTGAAATGGACGATTTGTCAGACGCAGTTATTATTGCAATGGACATTCTAAAGAAAACAAATAATATGCCACCTTTGGTAAAAGAGGCAAAATGTAAACTTAAGTCCAATTCCCATCGCCAGCAAGGGAATAAAGCATTTAAAAGTAACAAGTTTCAGAATGCTTTGGAGTGGTACAATAAGGCCTTGATGTATGCTCCTAAAGGTTCCGAAGAGTTGGTGCTGGGTTATAGCAACAGATCGGCTCTGTTGAGCAAGTGTAAGATGTTTCAGGCCTGCCTCAAAGATGTGAGCACCTGTTTTGAATTGGGATATCCGCCCCAGATCAGCGATAAGTTGGCGAATAGGCGAAGTGAAGCTACAAAAAACGTGTGGATTGAAAGAATGGCTATGGAGATGAGGTCTGTAGTAAGATTTTACCTAAATCCATCCTTATTAATAGAAAAGATCTGACCCACAATTTACCATATTTGTACTTGTTAGCAGTTCTAAGTAATAAAGTAAAGTAATAAAGTAATAATAAACTAATTCTAAAAGTATTTTATCTGTGCACTAATTGTGTGCATTTTTAAACTTTCTGATACTGCTTCTTCTTCCTTAGACCCTCACTGATGAGGATCGCGACCACAGATAATGTTCCTCCACAGACTACTTAGTGATAATAGGCTATGAAGGATTTTATCTAACATTTATTGTTTTTATACATTTTTATTATTTGAATTTGTACTTTTAAATTAAATATTCATTTCAGATTCTGTGAATTTTCCGAGGACTATCTGGAGTTTAGGGAAAGAAGAAATCCCCAAATAACATGTGCTAGCACTGATGTGGGTATCATTAAAGAGTCTCATGTGCCCAAAGTTGTTGCTGTCAGAGATGTGAAAGTTGGTAAACTTATTGCAATTGAGAAAGCATTCACTAGTCAGCTGGACCGTAAATTGTTATATTCAGCATGCTATTATTGCCACAAAATGAGTTTAAACCTCATTCCCTGTGAAGGTTGCACCAAAGCCTTGTTTTGTAGCGCAGACTGTAGGCGTACCTGCATGGAGGAGTATCACTCCTTTGAATGCCCTATAATTGAAATTTTTGATGAAATATCATCAATTCCGGTGAGTAAATTAGCCGTTATTACTGCTATAAAACTGAGGAAGAAATTCAAATCTTGGGAAGAGTTTAATGAGGCCACAAAGACTGTTGGCTTGAAGCGCATGAAAAAGAGCGAAATAAATGAAATTTTCAACAGTGAGAACAAGTTTTCGCTATTGAACTTCAAGGATGATGCTATCTTTACGTATGGGATGATCTATAATGCAACGTTTGGTTGCGCCATAGTGGTGCATTACCTCAATATGGCAAAGTCTTTTTTCCCAACGCGTGCAACTGAGAAGGCTGCAGCGGTCTGTGGTTTTAGCAGACTGCTGATGTATTATACTGTGCACCTAATACAAACTCAAATATCGTCTACGGTATCTGTGATGGCGCATGGGAAGACAGAGTTTTGTGAAGTGGCTAACTTTGGGGTGTTTCCATTCACCGGGAAGCTGAAAGGAGCCTGCAACCCAAACGTGCTAGTTGTTGGCTTGAACAAAGAAGTAGCGCTGATCACAGTACAACCTTTAAAACAGGGGACAGAATTGACCATTGCATATTTGTGAGTATTGATTTAGTTATTATGTATAACTATTTACCAAAGACTTTTTCTTATGACTCCTTGCATAGATTGAGACCCTTGCTTGCAAATGTTTGAAAATAATTATTACCAAATCAAATCGAATTACTACCCGTTCGCGCTAAGTTTGCCGGTCCGTGGAATGCGCGTCCCCTCCTCCAACCGCGATTAAACGCAATTTGTTAGTGATTAAATGCAATTAAGTGTTTTATTTTACGCAAATACACAATTTTTATAAATATTAATAAATAAAAAATATTTTCAATAAAGTTTGCTAAAATTATAGACGCATTCCTTCGAGTGACGTCATATCGCCAGCGGCAAACTTATCGCGAACGGATAGTATTCAGTTTTAATTTGGCACTTAATTATTGGAACTAGTTTAAGAAATAAAATATTTTTATACCGTATGTTACAGAGGTCACTGGTTGGACAACAACATACAAAACGGCTCACGACTGCGCAATATGTTTACTTTATACAACACAGTGTGCGCTTGTGCTGTGTGCAACGGTGACTGGAAGTTACTACGCAACAGGGCAAGGCCCACGGAGACCCACCTGCGAGCTTTCAGAAAACTCAACGTGAGCGAGGCCATAGAAAACTACTGCTCATCTGACATAGAACACATATACCCAAAATGCTGCCGAGCACTAGCCTTCCTGCACGACTTGCCGTTCTCAAACCAATACATCGATGTATACAAGCTGTTCAGGAAATGCCTGTTAGATATTCAAGATCAGTACTCGTCTAATATCATGTTGGATGGCACCAATGATTAGTGAAAAGTTTCATTGAAATTTAATTTAATGTAATTTTTCTAATATTATGCCATTTTTTTTTATTAATCCTAATGGAACTATTGTTTTTGTTACATACATTATAACAACCACAGAGTAAACTCGTCATAAAGTGGTAATTTGATGTGCTATTGATTGATTGATTTCAGGAATGTATAATAATAATATTCTAAAATTTACAAAATGTAACATTACATAAAAATTAGTCATGACAAGTACATAATTAATTTTAACATGATTCTCGTTTTGTGTTCAATAAGACTATACTTAACAGTATTCTTTTCTGTATTAATAGATTACCATTTTTTAGCATTAAGCATTAATGGGAATATGCATGTTTCATTTTTCACATAATAATAATATTTTTTTAGCTTTATAGTCTTTAGTATGTGAAATTTTTCGTGACGTCACTTAACAGTCACCTATTTGATTCTTACATGTGCCATGTGACGTCAGGCTTAAGTGCTTCTTTTGTATGAAAATACAAAAGAAGCACTTCTCAAGTCTGATTTCGATACTTTCTTTTACTTAGTATTTTGTGATATGTCGGATTCGTCCGTAATCTCGTACAGTACCGTATCAATATAAATAAGTTAAAATTTTCCATGGTATTCAGGGTTATAATCTCATTTCCTTTTGTACCCTTTGCACCACCGGCCTGCACCACTGGTGGTGCAAAGGGTATTTTTAAATCCCTCTTGCACCACCAACAAATAGTGCTGTGCTACCATCGACTGTAAAACTAGTAGTAGACTGTAAAATACTTAATAATTTAATTGTTATAAATAAATCAAAACCTACCTAAAAGTTTTAATTTGTGTGTGTGTAAGTGCCTATAAACATTTCACTTCAGACCCACGCACGATACCCCGGGCCTACATCCTACATACAACGAATAAAGTACCAGGGCAACATAACCATAAAGGAGCTATTTTATGATACATGTTTATTTCTCGGGTCAACCAAGAAGAATTTGATATAGCTCCTTTATGATTATGTTGCCCTGGTACTTTAGGAATTATTATTCGTTGTATGTAGGTATGAAGGTTGTTATTAATTTTTATGTTATGTTGTCAAATCTGTCCAGTAGTTTCAGTACAAACAAACAATCAAATCTTTCCTCTTTATAATATTAATATTCCTATAATTATAGATAATCGTTTTACAGTTAATGGTAGGGCGGCACTATTGGTGGTGTAAAAGGGATTAAAAAATACCCTTTGCACCACCAGTGGTGCAGGCCGGTGGTGCAAAGGGTACAAAAGGATCTCATTTAATAATAAGTGAAGGTTGATTTTGATCTCAAATTCAAATAAGTACTTACCCTATTTTGTGTTTAAATACTCAAAAGGTCCGTTTTCATCGGTTCCTGATATTTCTATAGTCAGTAGTTATGTCAATAAGCTAAGAGTTTGCTGATTTATTGATTTGTTTTTGTGACTCCTTTTAATATTGTGGTTTATCTGCCAGATAAGTCGTTTAAAATCTATCTGGGACTTTATAAGCGAGTGATGAAAAATGTAAGACATTTCGCCATTGGCGCTGTTTAGATTTTTAATTATTATTACAGATCGTTGAAATTTGTTGATTTTATGTTGTAATTTGGCAAAAGTTTTTTTTGTTTCCTTTTCTAATGTTTATGGTATTAATTTCTTAGTTTATCACTGTAAACGGTGCATAACGGTGATTAAATAAAATAATAATTTCAGTATTAATTAATATTGTTTTTGATTGCAAAGGATAAAAAATATACCTATTGGCTATTACATAACATACTGTACACAACTTAAACATACCTAGGTACTTACTTACGTTGTAGATATTAAACGTGTACCTTCTGGTTGACTTATCTTAATTAAGGTTTTATTTTCAAACCGTTTTTCATTGAAAAGACGTTATTTGTTTTCAAAGTAGTATTAATGTAATACAAGGCACACTATTACACTTTAAAGATGGTACATAAAAATCGCAATCGTACCTACACTTAGTAATAAATCTATCTACAAATTATAATAGCCTTCCATTGGAATGCCATTTGCAGAAATGATGACGAAATCAAACTATTCGTAGGTAGATGGAAAGTATTTATTTGGCTCAAAACAAGATAAGTTTCAAGTTATCACAGTGTACTACAATAGTGGTATGAGACAAAAAGGTCTATGCTATGACTCAACGAATGCAGGAGATTGTGGGTCTCCTACATTCCCTTTTAAGGACGTAGTACATTTATCAACTCGGAAAGGGACAGCACACTTATCCGCATGGTAACGTATAGATGACCCACGCTGAACTGTCCCACCAAACTCAATGACAGGGGGGCGCTACCATCGTTCAACTAACTATATGGTTTCCAACATGGCAAAAATCGGAACCAGCGATCCGGTATTGACGGTGGCGCCCCACTGTCAATGTCATGCATAGGACAGTTCAGTATTTTGGAACTATAAACGCCTCGCCTCGCGGTTGATAGCGCGCGAAAGGCGATACGGTGTTGATCCCTTTCTGAGTTGATAAGTCTGCTATGACCTTTATTATGCCATATGCATAAGCAAATAATATTTTAAGTTCTGCCACACTCTTCACTGACTCCGATGTTGTTCGGTTCCATGTGAGTTTTCCTGTTCTCTTTGCTGGCTTTGACTTGTTCTATCGTGTCCATAAGAGGCATGCCCTTCGTCTCAGGAGTGAGCATGATCATGAGGCCCGTGATCACTGCTGACGCCCCGAAGCAAAGCGCTGGCAGGATAACTGATACTCCATTCTGTGTAAGAAGTAGGATGTAGTTAGTATTACGGGACTGTTTCCTCTTGTTCTGAGCGCTGCAACTGCTGTGTAGCCTGGATCTACATCTTGACCGCCAATAAAAACCCAACCAGTGAAGGTAATTAGTAGGAAGGTAAGCAGTTACAGTTATAAGCCGTGTGACAGAGTAGATTACATTTGTCACCAACCCCTACTCTTCCCGTGGGTGTCGTAAGAGGCGACTTAGGGACTACACATCATACAGAGAATGGGCACGCTCTCTGAAAAATATCAATCTTTTAAACTGCGATCCTTAGCCCGCCTGCCAAGCGTGGGGATTATGGCTAAACCCTCCACTATAGTGCAGAAGGCTCATAGTCCAGCAGTGGATTGTAAGGATGATGGTGATGGTGATAACTAGTTATAATTAGATGTGCCTGTAACTTAACATAGAAATATCTGTGGCAGGCACACGACGCGTCGTGTCGCACGACATTTTGAAATCTTTGCGGCGCTGTGTCGCCGCATCTGTGCTTTGGCTCTTAGATCTTAGTATACCCACCAATATCGGCGTCAGCGGCGCTAGCATGCCGCCAAGCCGCGCGGACAGCGAGCACAGCCCCAGCAGCGAACCACGAGAGCTGGTCGGGAACAGCTCCAGGGTATACGTGATGCCGCCCGTGAAGCACGCTTGGTGGGCAAGGTGATCATGGTCACCTTGCCCACCAGGAAGAAGGCTTCCTTATCCCAGTTCACACCTTAGGGTGAGGCCCCATTAGTCCGTTGCGACGCTGCGACGTTTTCCATATATTTTTTTATGACGCGACACAGCGGAACGGATTAATGGTGCCTCACCCTTAGAGCGAAAGCACACGATGCGTTGCGGTGGCGGTAAAACGCCGGAGCGGTGTCGCTGCGTCTTCTTACATAAAAATATCTATGGCGGACACATGAGCGGTGGCGGCGTCGCGTCGCACGACACTTCGAATTCTCTGCGTTGCGGTGCGGCGCCGCATCGTGTGCTTTGGCTCTTATACCCACCAGTATCGGCGTCAGCGGCGCCAGCATGCCGCCAAGCCGCGCGGACAGCGAGCACAGCCCCAGCAGCGAGCCGCGGGCGCTGGTCGGGAACAGCTCCATGGTATACGTTATGCCGCCCGTGAAGCACACTGCGACAATCACCTTGCCCACCAGGAAGCAAGTGATTTTCGCCCAGCTCAAACCTTTAAGGTAAGTAAATTAATTAATTCCAAAGTAGGAATGTGTTTTAGAAAGATACATTTAACTCCACCGGCGCGATGAAAGGCAATGACAGTTTACCTGTCATTGGCTTATGATCGCGCCGGCGATGGCGATCTGCACGGGTTAGATATGTCTGTCACCGGAAAATAACAAGACTCGTAAGTTGATCAATTTTCTAGGTAGTTGATCAACTCTCGGAAAATAATAAACGGCAGTTAAAATGTACTATATAACGCATTGTATTTTAGCTAATTGGTCAACTTACGGTACCTAGCCGTAATTTAATAATTAACTATATTGCTACAAGTAAAATCATCCACAAATAGGCCAATCGTTGCCCAGTGTACTATTTGACGGTACACTATTATCCGTCACTTAATAAACTTTTCTCTGATTGGTCAACAGCATTAATTATAAGCATTTAGCAAGTGTTTATTCATAGAGTTACAAACACTTAGATATGTTGTTTTAATATTTATATTTTAGAAATAGGGATGTTAAAATTCGTCTATGCTATATAGTTAAATAAATGAATGGTCTTGGTTATTCATTAATCGATTGCAGTGAATACTTAGTTATTAGAAACATCACAAAAATCAACTATATTTTTCGATTGTTGACTTTAGTAAACGCATTGAAAATAAATTAATGTTTGGCAAACAATGCTACAAATAAAATCAGTCTGTAAAGCGATAATTAAGTATTATTTAAACCTATTAATAGTTTTTAATTTAAGGAAATAGAACCAGTATTTTTTAGGAATCATTTTTTTGAACACGAAGTCCATGGTATTAGAATATTATCAATAAAAAATTGTTACAATAATATTTGTAATTAAAAAAAACATGTATTTTGTTAAATAACAAAATATTTCTCTAAAAGTAGGTTTTACTAACTGTTAGATAAAAATCGATAGATAAATCGCTATGGTTTAGTTATGTGAGATCTCTATAACTTTCAAACTCGAAACGTCATACGAATCATCTTAGGTGAAAAGACTATAATGGCGGCGGCCGGGTGGCGGGGAGCGGTATAAAAGCACGTGAGTCTTTTAACCAATCAACGTACACCTTGCCTTTGTCGGATGATTTAACGGCAAGACGCCGTAAATTAATCAACTTACTAAAATACATACGTTAAATAGTACATTTCAACTGCCGTTTGTTATTTTCCGAGAGTTGATCAACTTCCTAGAAAATTGATCAACTTACGAGTCTTGTTATTTTCCGGTGACATGTCTAACCCGTGCAGATCGCCATCGCGATGTGTCGCGATAACATTCTGGCGACAGCGGAGCATAGTCTTACGTGAATACTTGGCTTCGCACATACACTATACACATAGGTTTAGGGAGCTCGCACATGATGATGACTTATTGAGTGGTGTACCTAATTCTTAGAGAAACATTGTACCTAGGTACTATTCAACTAACAGATGGTTAAGAGTACCTTAGGTACATAAGTACCTAAGGTACTTACGTACGAAACCTACGAAACCTACGTTACTACGTTACTACGTTACCTACGAAATTCGTAACTAGGTATAAACCTAGTTACGAATTTCGTAGGTAACGTATTTCCCCTGATCTTCAACAACACCCGCTTATTGCCTTAGTTTGCTGATTCTGCGTAGGTATAAACAAGACAAGCTACCTACTAGCTAAATACTTTGTAGGTAGGTATATAGCAAGCACCCAAATACTTACTATCTGGTATAAACGCCGATAACACGCACACAGCGCCGCTGATGGCGAACCCGACGATAAGCGGCAGCTTCCTGCCGATCTTGTTCATCAAGTACAAGCTCAACAGCTCCCCGGGGAAGGACATAACCGTGGCCAGCAGGAAGTTGGTGTACTTGTTCCCCGGCAGATACACAGAGTTGATCATGAGCCCGTAGTACACAAAGTTAGACGAGAATCTAGCCGAGAGCCCAACCAGCAAACGCTTCACCATCTCCCTGGACTTAAACACTTCCTTAAGCCCTTCCCTCGTCTCATAATTCTGAATGTCAAACTTCTGTCTCAACTGCTTATCGTCCAAATTACATAGATCTTGTTCGTTTATCTTTATGTTATTTGTCTTGGCAATCACCTTCAGGTTGTTTATAGCTTGCTCGGTTTTCCCGTTTAGTATCAGCCACCGCGGGCTCTCGTGCAACGTGAAAACTAGACCCAGGAACAGAATGCAAGGCCCGTACATCACTAGGACGAGGTTCTTCCAGTGCGGTATTAATATTGCTAAAGTAGCGAAACACGTCTCTCCCATGTAGACGGCATAAGCGAACAACACTCCGGAAAGTATGCGGTACTTTCTTCCAGTTATTTCTATCACTGAAAACATAAAAATAGGTTGGTTAAGAAAACTGCAATGCTGAACACGAATTTAAATAATAATAGCCTACACCCCTACACTATCTACGCTGGCCAGACGGGTAATGTTTGTTCACATATTTATTTGTCACTTTATCACCATTACGACATCTACAAGAAGAAGAATAAGGATGTAAGTAAGTCAACTTACTCATAATAGATGCCACAGCATAGCATCCTCCGCTCAGCAACGCCTCTAAGAACTCTATAGTTACATACACCGGGTACGATGCGGCGAAGATTTTGAAAATACCCACAAAACACGTGGTGAAACAAAATATTACAATCTTCTTGCGGCCGTACCTGAAAGGCAATAATTTTTTTATAAAATATTTTGCTTAATTATCTAGGAGACCTATTAGGATTTAGGACTGAAAAATTTAAGCCGTCATGTAAGTAGTTTCCTCTGCAGAAGTACTACCACAGAATAATAATAAGTACTACCAACTACTCTATGATCTATCTTGCTTTGCTCTATCTCTATTCTAAAGGTGAATGGAGGATTTGGCCTACACTCCCACTCCCGCTGGCCTGAGCTAGGCGAGGTTTGATGTTCGCATAATGTCCCATACTCTCCTTTATGACATCTAAGGCGGTTATCACACTTCGCCGCGCTCCGCCGCGGAGCGCGTGATTTTCATATAAAAAATCACGCGTTGTCAGTGTGAAGTGCCGCGCGTGTTTTCTATACAAACTGAGGTACTTGCATACAATGATTAAATCTGTCGCCCGGCGCAGTGTGATAACCGCCTAAGAGAAGAGTGGGGTGGAGTAGTTCTATTATACCTATACTCTGCCGGAACACACGGTTAATTCTTACCTATCAGAGATCCAGCCAGTTATCAACATAGAGAACAACATTCCCAGATTGTGTATGGTGCCCACCATATTGATCTGCCACGGTTGGCAGGCAAGATTGAGCTGAAATGGAAAGTGAATAAATAAATCATTTTTTTACCCACAATGGAGAGGCTCTTGACATTGATTTGATGGAAAGTGATGATCAGGTCAAAGGTGGATGTGAGCTTCACACGGACTTCCACAGAGGAACTGGCTATCTACTTCTAACTGCCGAAATACAATGCTGTTAAAATTGTTGTTAAGCCGACAGACTGAAGTAAGAAGGTAGAAGCTAGCCAGGCGTACTTAAAACAAGCCCTGCCACCAACCAAAAAGAAAATTTTGCCCCCACTGGGAGTCTGGGAACTAACCCGAGACCTCTGTCGCTTTAGGCTTTATATTTAGGCGAATAATTGGAGTTGTTAAATAGCCCTTTACTAGGACTCCTTGTCTTGAAAGCATTTTGTGGTTATCATAATACATTTGATTAAAACCCTGCCTGATCTCTAGCACAAAATTTATTTTGTGTCTCTCTCGAAAAGTCTAGTCTAGGTAAGATGTTGTCATAATAATGTAAACATATACAATGTAATGTATGTTCTCATAAGTAACGGCCGTGATAATGTTATCAACATCTCAATGATACTCGTGCATTGATGATCCTGTTTGGCAGCATGTTTGTTTAATCCGAGATGAATATTATATAAGGCCAGTGTCTTATACATAATAAGTAAGTAGGTATCAATGTAACCAAATTCTTCAACTGTCAAATCTCAATCTGTTTTCCATCAGTTACTTATCCATAATAAAAATTTCGATGTGTAGTCTTATACTTTAACAATATGACAATGTATAAATATCGAAAACCGTAGATATTTTCACTAAAAACATAATTGAAATTTGACAGTTGACGGACGGATTTGGATTAGAATTGAAGAAAACCGGCCTACATCGATATCAAATCTATCTTAAACTTTGGTATCAATACAATAACATAAAACTAGTATAGTAGGTCACAATTTTGGGTAACCAAAAATAAAACCATTGAGAGCTCATTGAACTGCACATTTACACCAAAAACTTAAATTATAGAATAATAACTAAAAAGAAAAAATAACACCTATTTGTGTAGAAATTAAAAAATCGTCAGTGTAATGAATTTGCTCAGTAAAATGACACTCCTTATTATTCTCCATTATCTTATTACAGTTAATAATAAAATCTAAAATTAGCCTACCTAAATGTAACTAGTGTAAACAAACAATCAGATTGCAAGAGATTAATATCGGAGCAATAATTAGGTAAGTAGTACTAGTACATAGTCATTAAGGAAATATCTCCAAAACATTTACTTATTTTAACTGACTTTTGCCTGTGGCTCAAAATGAGGCAAAATACGAAATCATAAAGGCTTCATCATTAAATGACCGGTGCCTGATGTAGCTTTGTTTTTGTATGGGTTTATAGCGTAAAATCGATAAAAAGTCCGATGAAAGCTTATGGCGGGCAGGGCACTATTTATAACTTAGGGATATACTAGGTATGCATGATACCACAGAATAATAGTGAGTGTGTACTACGTACGTACACACGACATCACATCAACTTATACATTTTTGTTGCAACATCGCCTCTATTACTTAGAACATAAGAGACCACCATGTTTAGAAAGAAAGAAAGAAAGAAAATATTTTATTTGGCCCAACATATTAAATTAAATTTAGCTTGTCGTGCCGTGCGTCGTCTGTAAGTACATACGTCACTCACTACTCGCTCGTGAATCCCTTGTGGTTTAAACCCGCTGGGGTTTTGTTTTCGATGCCTGCTCGGGGAGATGAACAGCCCTGATGATACAAACTTACATGGGAGACTACGCTGTTCTGGCTCTCGTAGACCCAGCTGCTGCAGCGCTCCACCTCCTCGGTGAAGGCATCTGACGAGCACCCTATGGAACTGTTGTCCAGCTTAGGGCTCCAACATCTGTCTATGGAGCTGTTGGGCCACCATGACACTTGGAAGGCCTCAGTAGCACCTTCACATTGTGGCACTCGACATCTGGAATATTTTTTCAAATCTTTATAAAGTTAACAATGTTATGAGGCAGACTACAGACTTTTCGTCGGCACTCAAAAACAACCACATTATTTTAGATTTAGTGAATTTAATTTTCTTGTATTTTCAAGTAGTAGCTAAAGCGCCACCAAAATCAAGAGCCCCATTTCTTATTTTCAACAATATAAATCTATACAAATATTATAAAGAGGTAAAGATTGTGTGTTTGTATTATTTGTTAAATTGTAAGGGGTAATCTCGGGATCTACTGAACCGATTTAAAAATTATTTCATCAATAGAAAGACACTGCTGAGTGTCATAGGTTATATGTATAAAAAACCGAAAAATTACACGCGGGCGAAGCCGCGGGCGGAAAGCTAGTTGTAAATAACTGGATAATTAATAGGCACCTTCTAAATGAAAGAGTTTCATGTAATTACTTTGTATGTAATGTTGTTGGTATACCGTAAATAAAAAAAATAAAAAAGAGTTCCAGAAAAAGAGGGCCTACAACCTCTGTGGTTGAGGATTTCGGGTGAAGCTCGCTTACACCTTAGGCCCGATCTTCACTTTCCATCAGGCATCCTGCATCTCATGCAGGTCCCGTTGTCGATAAAAAACATGCTAAAGAATTTGAATTATAACGCTTACCGGTATCCCACGTCTCCAACCACAAATATGTAGTTGATGTTACACATGGTCACGAAGAATGTAGCCACGCAGACCAGCAAATACTGCGTAATCTGGTACTTTCCATATTTTTCAAGAACTTCCCATATTTCGTACACTTTGTCTTCTTTAACGTCACCCTTTTTCGCTTCCATTTTAATTACACTTTGAACACTGAACGGTTAATGTTTGCCAATCCTGCCAACAGCTCGATCCAAGAGTTTGTAAGACATTAATATATTATTGCCTAAGTCAATACTTGTAAAGTGTTTTTATTGACTGACGCTCTAGATGCGATTAATATTATCGCAGTCCTCGCTCTTCAAGCACGACTTGGAGGCGGAAGAGACGCTATCACTACTAAGTGACATACAAATATTATGTCTAATAGATCGTTCCTTCTTTCGGAAAGTTGCTCCAAGTGTGACACTGTGACACTTCCAAGCAACGCCACACAAGCAAATCTTAACGAGGTTTTGGTTTTGCTCTGTTGTAAAAAAAATATTTATACGAAATCTTATAATAAGTGTTTGCGATCGGCTCACCACAGCGACAGTGGAGTCGAGAGCAGCATGTAGGTACGTCTTATAATTAGGTAATTACACCTAATTATACCTATTAAGTGTTAATTGTAAGACTTTTGTTAAGCTCGTTAAGTATGTATTAAAATAGTAACTACTATCTAGTGTTTTTTAGCATCTCCTCGATTACATTAGTGGTGCTGCTAGGAAGTATACTTCGCAGCCGTGCCACCTCGTAATAGTATACAGGGTGGAAACGATAAAGTGAACTCATTCGATTATTTCTAAACTATACAAGATATCGAAAAACTGGTTACTAATCCTGAAAGTGCTTCACAAGCCCTATCCAACGGTACCAATATTAGGTTACAGAATTAACTGGATCTATCCGAAAATTTAATGTTTTCAGCCTCCATACTAAATGTATATGCCAGCCAAGAAATAATAGAAGTATTAATTTTTTTTTATTAAATAATAAACACTTAAAATGAACTTGTAAATTGTATTCTCATTTAAAAAAAATCTTGTAAAACATTGGTTTTAGGCTTTACTTGCTATAATATTAACAAGACATGAGTGCCATGACTGTGGTTGTACTAAATGTATGGAAGCTGGAAATATTTTTTTATCAGTAACCAGTTTTTGAATATCTTGTGTTTTTAATATTATGTGGTTTTACTAAATGTATGGAAGATGGAAAAAATGAATTTTCGGATAGATCCAGTTTATTCTGTAACCTATTATTGGTACCGTTTGAAAGAACTTGTGAAGCACTTTCAGAATCAGTAATCAGTTTTTCGATATCTTGTATAGTTTAGAAATAATCGAGTGAGATCACTTAACGTTTCCACGCTGTATACAGGGTGTACCTACGTACAGAAGACAAATTAACTCATTTTAACAGGTATGTTAATACAGTACAATAGAGCACATTTATCTACCACAGCCAAATTGCATGAATGAACTATAAGGACGATTCGAAAATGTTTTTTAATTAAGGATCTCAATTAAATGATGCGAATCCGACTATAAAAAAAAATAAAGAAAAGGTTACACTTAAACTTAATTTGATTATTTCGAGATGGCAGGTACTTAGGTAATAGATTATCTAATGAGCATGCTCAATGAGTTCTATCAAAAGTTATTTCTTAACTTATACATGTTTGTGTTTTAATTTACACGCCTAAGTTATTGTACTTACTTACCTAGGTCTAAAATAAATGTGAATCACTATAATTGCAGGTTAACTTCTATATAACTTTTAAATTAACCAGCTTGAAAGTTGGGAAAACTGAAAAAAAAATCTGCATTCAAGTCTCTATAAAACGGGAAATATTATTGTCTTAAAACAACTTAATTACGCTCGAGCGATAAGGATGGGTAGCTAGGGGTCATTGGACAAAATTCTACGTGCTCACGGACCGGGCTTTATCGGCAATCCAAGTAGGCTCATCGATTTGCCTCGTTCCCGTCGCGCTCACTCTGGTTCGCGTCGTACCTAAGCGTATGCGCCAACGAACTGTAAAACACCACTCTAGTTCGAGCCCTGTGCGTCGGCCAATCAAGCGGCCAGAAAAATACCACGTTTACCACGTACAATTATTGCTGTACTGCGTCTGAGCAGTACAAGTCAGTTGATTGTGAGCTTCGAAGCGAAATACACACTTGCCAAAAATACGTCGTTCTTTTTTGAAAAAGAACCCAAAACCCTGAGAAGAGCCCAACTTTTAACGCTGTCACGCTAAAATATGAATTTTAGCTGCTTCCCTGTATGACACATTATAATAATCTAGAGACTTTATAATACGTTTCAAGTTTTAACATTATTAAACAATTGATGTTTGGATTGTAAGATGTGATAATTATTATCTCATCTTGTAGGTAATTACAAATCCTTAGTTATAAAACGCTCATGTGACTGTTAAAACGTAAAGTAGGTAGGATGTGTTATTTGGTTATTATCTAATTTAAAATTTTTGAGTTGCTTCCCAAGCAATCAACTAGAACAATGGTATCTAAAAATAGTGATTTAAAAAAAGAGGAGAAAGTGCACGAAATATGGGAGGTTTTGGAAAAGTTTGGGAGGTACCAAGCGATGCAGTACACGTTTATGTGCGTGCCCACCCTCTTCATCACTATGGCGAATATAAACTACATATTTGTTGTGGGCGACGTCGGTCACAGGTGAGCTGTATTTTTAAAACTAAGTTTTGCCGGCGGCTTCATCTGCTTTTGTTACAGCCAGTCAATAAAGAGAAATTGAGAGAAGTTTCTTTAACCATACAAACTTTCATTTAATTTGTTTCATTCCTTTTTCAACCGACTATACTCATGTCTGAAAAATTTTTTTTTTCATCTACATAAAGCCGACCGGATTTGAAAATCTTTTTTTGTTTGTGGTCCCATAAAAATACTCATTTGCAATATTATTTTTTCTAACTTTACGCGATGACTAAGTAGACTGTAAGATCAAAATCGCAGTTTCTTCTTTCCTGCTTTAGGACAATAACAAGGGCAAGTGCTGAGAAGAAGCAGCACAAGGTGGACAGATGACTCAAAAAGGTGTCAGAGAGGGTACTAGACTGGAAAAAATTGGAGGATACCTATGTTCAGCAGTATAGGTCTTGTGGCTGAAATAATGACGATGATGATGATAAAATCTTCCAGATGTCGAGTCCCAGAATGCGAGGGTCCTTTAGACGTGTTCAGTCCTGCGTGGTGGCCCAACCAGACCATAGACCGGTGTTCGAGGCCGATCCCAAGCAACTACACTGGCGGGGTTTGCTCTCCAGAACACTTTCATGGAGAAGTAGAACCCTGCTCGCGTTGGGTGTACGAGAATCAGGACAGCGTGGTGTCTTATGTAAGATTTAAATCAGTTTTCAGACTCCCCGCAAAATACAGATTTAGTCGGCCGACCGGTACCTAGTAGGGCCCGATTCTAATTTGTATGAAGAATTGGCCAATACCATTGTGCAACACTTTCATACATGTCCATATTTATTAACAGCCCGACCCAACTATCGGCCGACAAAAAGTCTATAGTCTGCGGATAGGCTTATGCTTATTTAGAAGATATAGGGAATATATTATAGGTATTGATTCCTGATTGGAAGTATATCCTGTAATATAGTTGGTAGAGCCTTGTTTTAATGACTTGAAATGGAAAATCAATAGTTGGCATGGAAAAGTTCTTTCTTAAAACGTTAAATTTAAACCAAACTTGTAAATAAATAAGTGATTAGTGGTACCCGTGTAGAGCCACCAGAATCAAATAAAGCTAATAAAACACTGCCTCGTGAAAATTTCGTTATTACTGTACAAATAAGGTAGGTACTTAGTTTCATTGTTAATTACTTATGCTTCAACCACACTGACGCGTGCAGTGGGTCTAGACAAAGTGCAAATTATAATCGCAAACCAGTCGAAAAGTGGTCGAAAAGCCCCTATTTTGTATGGAGTTTTGACGGATTCGATTTTTGATTCGATCAAAAAGTGCGTTTTGTCTAGGGGGGCAGATCCTATGAAGCGCCGCGATCCTATGATTGGTCTATGAAGGCGCCGGCGCGATAGCGATCTGAAGGCCTAGGAAAAATACGTGTTTGAAAAAAGTTAAGAGTTCTATTAATCTAATCTCTATTAATCTAATCCTAAAAATTAAATCTATTATCAATAAATAGGAGAGCACCTACTGCTTCCAATTACGCTAACAGAACATAATAATTATGTTTATTACGGTCATATAATAGGCACGAGTATATGACTTGTCTAGACTTCGTGATTTACAAATTACAATAAATATACTACTTGTTTATTAAATAGAATTAGATTACGAAATAAGTAAATAGACTCACATAATAATGTAGATTTATCTTAACTTATCTTACTCAAATACCATGTTAATAATAAGTTGTTTTTTACAATGGTTATTTTTAGAGCTAGGCTTTAAGAGCGTTTACGTCTAGCGTGGCATGTCAAGTTTAGGTAATTTCGATGCTAGTTTTATTCACACTAAAATAATTATGACTGTGTGCGTGTTCTCACGCTCTATAGTCAAACCAAAATACTTTGATCCACCATCGTAAAAGTATGCCAGGCTGTCAAGTGACAGCTCAAGGATGTGACGCGCCCNTTAGGTAATTTCGATGCTAGTTTTATTCACACTAAAATAATTATGACTGTGTGCGTGTTCTCACGCTCTATAGTCAAACCAAAATACTTTGATCCACCATCGTAAAAGTATGCCAGGCTGTCAAGTGACAGCTCAAGGATGTGACGCGCCCCGCGACGCATCGACAGCCCTAGCACCGAGCGCAGAGATTTTGACAACCCTACGGCTGCGCGGCCGCACGCCGCACGGACCGAGCTAATATAAGAGACGGCGGCGACCGCGGGCGCCTAGCATTCGCTCGGGAGCCATTACAACAACCAGACGTTCGCGCGCGCGTCTATAGTTCCCTCGGTTGCATTGTACAGAGTCCCTAGCGAATTGCTACCCACACTGTTCCCACTAACTTGGCTTGACTCGATACCTCGTTTACCTCCGCGGAGCCATAAAGCTTCGTGTTGCTGTTGAAACGTTCTATCGTTGATAGCTACCTATTCTCATCCCTACCGAGTAGTGCATGCGATACTCATCCCGAACCCGCGGTAGCAATCCTGCTGCCACCCATCCTAAACTTCATACCCCCTCGCCACGTAGGTCCGACGCCTTTCCCTAACGGTTTCAGCTCCCCGACGACTTAGGTCTCTGGTTGTAGCGTATGAAAACACGTCCTACCCCCCTAGTTATAAGTATCCACTAATACTCGCTAAACCTCGCACAGGGCGCCGCCCCTCTCGCGGATACATAGACTAGTTTCGGGATGCGAACCGGGCGCGTCGCTATACCTCTCATTGCCATTGATTTATAATTGTTGAATAACCTGTAAAGTAATTGCTCGTAGTAATAATAAATTTAGAGTCAGTGAAGTTAGAATAAGGAACCATTGTGGAACTAGAAATACAAGTGTCATTGTGTTATTGATTGTGCGTTTCCTTGGTCAATATCCCTGTAGGCATCCTGGATAGGTACACATCCCTCATCGCAGAAAGCGAACTGGGACTTAGTACTAAACAGCGGGGTGTCAGACTGAAAGATATTCTTCTATTATATTAAGCTATTTTTGTGTTGAATAAAGGAAGAATATTGGTGAAAAAATCACTTTGATTTTTGGGTATTTCACGTTCTTTTAATTTGTGATTTCTTAGTGTAAAATGCTTAAATCTAAAAATTTTCTCAGATAACTATTTGCCCAAGGATCTATGCTATAGGATATATATGTTTGTTAAATCGTTTTCACAGCGTTTTTATAAAAATTTCAGCTTGTAAACTGACGCTATAGTGGAAATTTACAAAACCTGTGTGGACTTATCTGGATAGAATTCTTAAATGCTAAACTAATCGCAATATTTTCTCAATTAACTATTTAGACGACGAAATTGTCTAACTTTTTATGCCTATAACATATTTGTAGTATTACTGGTTAATGATTGTAACGAGTTGAAAAAGTACTGTTTTTGCGCCAAACGGCGTAAACGCTCTTAACTATTTTTTCCGACGAGTTTGGTTTCTAATTAGCTTGTAACTAATTATGGCTCATCTTCGAGATTGAGGACTAAAATTATATTTGTATGCCACAACAACAGCTTTAAAGGAAAATGCCACACTGGTTGCGGTCTGCGGTCTGCTGTTAGGTCTAAGTGAACGCAGTCCGTATCCAGACGGTTTGCGTTCTTTGGTCGAAACCGTATGATCAGATCGCATCAATGCAAAATGTAGAGACCTACAATATTGTTCCTACATCATGCGGGATGCGTTCACTTTAAACCTGACAACAGACCGCAGACCTATCCAGTGTGGAAAATTCTTTTGTCACGTTTGTTGCCCAGCCCATATGTTGTCCCGAAGTGGTGGTAGGGCAAGCTATATTCGGGAAGTGTATAAGTGTTTATTTATTTTNTTTTTATGCATAACAAGGCAGGTATTTGACCACAATCGCACCTGATGTTAAGTGGGATGCAGTCTATGTTGTGCATTTCAGCTCGACCTAGCCTGCCAGCCCTGGAAGATTAACATGGTGGGCACCATCCACAACCTGGGAATGTTGTTCGCCATGCTCGTCACTGGTTGGCTCGCTGATAGGTACGTAAAGTTAGATTATGTATGACATTAAGCGACGAAATGATGAATAGTGTCGGACTGACTGGCCGACTACGTAGCCACGATATCCCAACGGTGAAGTGTGAAGTGGTCGGACTAGCCGACTCGAGATCCGAGGAACGCGGGTTCGAATCCCACCGCGGCGTTCGACTATTGGAGCCCACTCGTAACACAAGCTTATTTAGCTTAACACGAGCTAAAAAAAATTAGCTTAGTATTGGGGGTTAACGAGGCTATTCATAATTTGTGCAATACAAATTAATATTATGTATGTAATAAATAATGTATTAGTACTACTGGTCCTCGATGAGTAGACTCCTTTGGTTTTGTTTTCAGATTCGGGCGCAAGTTCACATCAATATTTTGCTTGACAGCGTGCTTTGTTGGCATCTTCAAGATCTTTGCCTCATCGTACCCTGTGTATCTGACTTTAGAGTTTGTGGAAGCTTTGCTGAGCGGAGGCAGCTACTCTGTCGGAACGATTATAAGTGAGTTTTACAACTTTAATGCTGAGTAATAACATAATTATTGTAAGTGTTGCATTGTTTTATTGTATTTCTATTTAAAGAAGTCAGGCAAGTGATACAAAAAACGTTTAGTTGAAGTTTTAAATTAACCCACGTAGTACGTTAGAACGTAAAACCTACGTTAGCCATGGTCGGTCTAAAAAGCCTTAAGTTTTACAAAATGAAAAATATTGCAAGAATAGACGTTCATTTTATGCTTTCTTATATTTCAGTGCTAGAAATAGCCGGGAGAAGGCACCGAATCCTTTCTGGAGTAGTATTCGCGTATGCAATTTACATGGGAGAGACGTGTTTTGCGACATTAGCGATGTTCGTGCCTAATTGGAAGACTCTGATCGAAGTAGTGTACGGGCCCTGCATACTGTTTCTGATCCTGATCTTTTATCTAGACGAGAGTCCGCGGTGGCTAATCCTGAACGGAAAGACTGATCAAGCGATACACAACTTAAAGATGATCGCGAAAACAAATGATATAAAAATTAACGAGCAAGACCTCTGCAACGTAGACGATAAGAAATTGAAGCAGATGTTTGATATCCAGAACTATGAAACAAGGGAAGGGCTCATAGAAGTGTTTAAGTCTAAGGAGATGATGAAGCGTTTACTGGTCGGTTATATGGTGAGATTCACGTCTAGCTTCGTGTACTACGGGCTCATGATCAACTCTGTGTATCTGCCGGGGAACAAGTACACCAACTTCCTGCTGGCCACGGTGATGTCCTTCCCCGGGGAGCTGTTGAGCTTGTACTTGATGAACAAGATCGGCAGGAAGCTGCCGCTTATCGTCGGGTTCATTATCAGCGGAGCAGTGTGCGTGATATCAGCGTTTGTTCCAGATAGTAAGTACACTTTCACAATACTCTGCACTAATGATTAGGAACACAAAGCATAGCCCTCTCCATAGCACGCTGTGCAACTTTGAGCTTCTCTATTAAGGCCTATAGTGAGAGGCCACGTTTCTGAACCATAAATCATCACTGGTAACACACATTGGTTGTAGACTTTAGTCTTCAGGCACTGAGGTATTTTGGACGAAGAGATGTTGCGTACCGAAGTGGACCGACGACATCTTAAAGGTAGCAGGACGCAGGCCGCTACCAACCGGGCAACATGGAAAGCATTGCATTGGGTGAGGCCTATGTTCAGCAGTGGAAGTCCTATGGCTGAGATGATGATGATGAATGAAGGAAATGATAAATGTCTGATGAAAAGGTGGTGAAGGGTTAAATATGTAAGTCCGGAATACAAACTTTTTGAATGCCTATTTTTCTGTAAAGTAAGATTTTTATGATGCTATTCATATTATTTAGATAGAGCTACGACTTAGCTTAGTTATTTTTGGAATGTTATTATTTCACAAAGGTGTGAGCTGGGCTAAGATAGCCTTCTTCCTGGTGGGCAAGGTGATCGTCGCGGTGTGCTTCACGGGCGGTATTACGTATACCCTGGAGCTGTTCCCCACCAGCTCTCGCGGGTCGATGCTCGGGCTGTGCTCGCTGGCTGCTCGGCTTGGCGGCATGCTGGCGCCGTTGACGCCGATACTGGTGAGTATACCGTCTTCCACGCCGGTGTCTTGACACCAGACTCCAGTCTAAGGCTGGTTTTAGAATCGCACTGACCGCTCGCTGATCGTCGGCGCTGACAAATCAAAATATATGTAATTAAAGGGAACGTTCCTGAGTGACGCTGGTCGCTCGGCAACGACGCTTCATACATTTCGGCTGTCAGCACTGACAGTCAGCGTGCGTCAGCGTGATTCTAAAACCAGCCTTACCTATGAAGTCTATTATTATTTGATTTATTGTTTTCTTATTCTGTAGTCTTTGAGTAGGTGGAGGGGTTCATGGGGGGGCCAATTTGATGATATTTTTGTGAAAAGAAAATCAAAATCGCTTTAGTCATTCAGGAGCTAATAATGCGACAGACTGAGAAGACGAATATCGCGCAAATGTTCTTCGCGCTAGTGTCTTCGCGCTAATGGCTTTTCGCGCTAGTGTCTTCGCGCTAATGTCTTTCGCGCAAGTTCCCCGATACGATATTATTGTGTCTGATATTATAATTCCCATTTTTCAGTCAACAATATTGTTTTTTTCAGAACGAAGTGTCAGTTATCTTGCCAGCGGTTTGCTTCGGGCTGTCTGCGGTGATCACAGGCTTGCTCATCATCCTCACTCCTGAGACCAAGGGCATGCCGCTCATGGACACCATAGAACAGGTTAAAGCCAGCTCCAGGAAGAAAGGGAAGAATCATGCCGATAACTTCGGGTTTATGGCTGATGATGTCACTAAGATTTAAGACTAAAATACTTATTACTTAAGTAACCTACTGTAAAATATAAAAATGATTGGTAAAAGTGTCATTTTTTCAACACCTTCTCCAAAGTAATTATCTAAATTTAAATATCTGCAACGAAACTGTTCCATTGGCAATCGGTCTGTTTGATAAAATCAATAAATAAAGTGTGGAAACTGTGTACCGAAAAACGCAGCGTGAGACTTCCCCCTACAAGGTGGACCGACAAACTCATTTCTCACTTTTGAAAGAGCTTAATAGAATTTTCATAAGTATCAGCTAATGTCCAGAATGTTTTTATTTGTTTATTATTTTGGACCAGTAGATTTCTAAAATTATTAGTATAAGAATAATGTTTGTTAATTAATAGCAGAACAGCTGATTTACCTAGCAGATTACAGGAAGAATAGAAAAAAAAGTTAACTACAGGAGTACAATTATTTATTATGGTACGAGTAGTATTATACCTACAATGTGCTCAACCCAAAGGTAAACTGGTCGAGAATGCTTTAGTGCATTAAGTTCGCCTTATGTACAAATTTATTTTGGCATAAAAGTTTAAATAAATAAATAAATAAATAAATAAATAAATAAATAAATAAATAAATGTGTTTTGTCCCCAATTTTCATCCCTCAAACTCTACAGCCAACTGGGGACAGAAGCCCTCCTTGGTGATTTCTGCGTTCGGGGCCATGCACTGCGCGCATTTCCGGCTCCAATAAGTCTGTTCATCAGACGCGCACACCGGGGCCAGCCGGCCTGTGCAGGGGCAGCTGGGGTCAGGGTCTGGCCCTATTCCCGCTGAACAGATGGTGGTTAGACACAGCAGCTATGCAGCTGATGTACCTGGCAAATTACAGTTAGAAAGCGACATTAGCGGTAGAATAGTGACAATAAAAAATGGACAGTTACTACTAGATATTTATTGCGGTACGAATAGTTCGTTCCTTTCAGCCGAAAGACGTTAACTGCTGGACATTGACCTCCCCCAAGGATTTCCACAAAGACCGATCCTACGCCGCTCGCATCCAGGCACCTCTCGCGACCTTCACTAGATCGTCGGTCCACCTAGTGGGAGGCCTGCCCACGCTACGTCTTCCGGCTCGTCGTCGTCACTCAAGAACTTTCCTGCCCTAGCGGCCATCAGCTCTACGAGCTATGTGCTCCGCCCACTGCCACTTGATTTTAGCGATTCTGCGGGCTATGTCTGTGACTCTGGTTCTCCTACGAATCTCCTCATTTAACTATAGGCTGGACCAATTTATTGTTTTAATCTTTCATGGTCACTACACTAGAATAGACTATGAGATTGCACATTTTTATTCACGAGCATCCGATATTTTGGCACTTGCAAAACTATTAATTTTAAGTTTAGGAGCAATGGTTGAGGTTTAGAAAAATGGGGCGAGGTTGTCCTACTGATAGCTTCGATATTAAAAATTTTGGTACTACCGAAATAACTTCCAATTCTTTCTGTGCTACTAAGTACTACTTATTAATTGGCGAGCAAAATTTATTTTCTACAACTTTATCTACATTTTTGTACACGTATCGGAATTCTATTGTACCTACGCGAAACGTGAAAAGCCTAGAATTGGTACAATTGATAGATATTAGAATTAGTAAAATATGGATACTTACGAATTTTGTTTTCTAACGTCATGTTGATTAAAAACCAAAAAATTAATGTATGTTTATTTATATTACCTACTCACTTGAAGCAGACTGAGTCTTCGACTGAGTTATCAGAAGTTACATTACTTACTTATTATCTATATTTTATGTATTTCTGGGATCTTTCTGTAGGGATGTACCTAAGTAATGAAATCCAAAGATTCTTTGGGTACCTACCTATCAGATACCAAATGTCATATAGGTAATAATTGTAATCGTAATAGGTATTAAGTGGGTACCTAACTAGGTAGATTTCTTATTTTAAGTACTGGCTTACCCCGCAAAACTTGGCATCACCTAACAGACTGGAATACCTTTTTTTTCGTCAGGAAAATACATTGATTTGTATACCCACCAGCCGCGGGGGCGGTTAGTGGGTTATGTGGGGTTCTCCCTGCCAGAAGGGCAGGGCCTACCCACTAAAAACCTGACGTTGCCCTCGGTAGCCATATGAGTCGGGAACGCGGGCCATCACTATCGGCATTTTGCCTCAAGCATTCGTCCGCGTTCCCTGCTCGGCATTTCACTCGCTTAAACCAAGCCCAGCCCAACCAAGGCGTTATTACGCCTTCAACCTCCTGCGAGCGGCACGCAGGACACGTGCTGCGCCGTCGCGGCCTCTTTAGACGCCACCAGACACCCCCGTATCTGATGGCCGAGGCCTATTAGGAAGGGGCAGATGGAGGTCATAGAGCCTCCTTCTTTGCCCATGACGTCGGCGGCGGGCAATGGGTGCGTCGGGTGATGCTTCCCGCTCCCTCTCCGCCGCTTCCTTCTGTGAAATGACTGCTTCACAGAAGGTGAGAACTCCACGCCACGCCTCCTCTCCGTTGGTCATATGGTGGACTAAGACCGGTAGAGAGAGGTCATTTCCTATACATATATTGAGGGCCGCACGCTCATCCGCCCAAGCTGGGCATTCTTGGAGCGTGTGCTCAGCTGTATCCACAGTGTCAAGGTTGCAGTGATGGCAGCCTGGTACCTCTTCTCGGCCTATTCTGTGAAGGAAGGCCCCGAAACACCCGTGGCCTGTCAGTAGCTGGGTCATCCGGTAGGTTAGACGACCATGCCGACGTCGCAGCCACTCCGCTAGGACAGGCAGAAGTGCCTGCACAGTGCGACGCCCGACTTGACTAACGGCCAAGCGTCCTCTCCAGCATTCTAGGGCCATCTCCTCCAGCTCTTCTTTTTTAGCCTCAACCTCACGGGGTGCAGGCCTTTGCCCTTCAGATTTTTGGTCTCCCCGCCACTGGTATACCGCGGCGAGGACCTTGGCGTTCAGGTCCCAAGGCATGCTCCCAGCCAATGAGAGGGCTGCGTCTGCAGATATTGTGCGGTACCCGCGGACCACCCTCAAAGCAATCAAACGCTGTGCCTTCTGCAGAAGTAGGGTACTTTTTGCTGAAACAGCTTTGTACCATACTGGGGCTCCGTACAACGCCATTGAGCGAACGACTCCAAGATATAGACGACGACTCGCCGCAGCAGGCCCACCTATATTTGGCATCAGCCTGCTAAGAGCACCAGCAGTCGCCATTAGCTTCGGTGTAAGGCGCTTGAAATGCTCGTCGAACGTCCATTGTCCATCCAATTGGAGCCCCAGGTAACGTAGGGACTTCCCAACTGGGATTGTAGTGCCTCCAACGACGAGATGGGTCCCAGCTGGTGGCGCCTGCCGAGGCCCATGGAAACACAGAGCTTCAGATTTCTCGAGCGCCACTTCTAATCCTAGTTCGCGTATTCTGCGGACCACGATCGCTACGCCGGCCGTAGCGCGTCGTACCGCCTCTCGGATATCATCCCCGCGGGCCGTCACGAGAGTGTCGTCGGCGTAACATGTCACACCGACCCCCGTAATTAGACGCCCGCGGAGGACCCAATCGTACCCCAGGTTCCACAGGAGAGGCCCAAGGACCGACCCCTGTGGAACTCCACACAAAGCTTTCTGGCGGAGAACTCGCCCATCTTTCCCTTCCAGAGTAACCTCTCGGTTGGCCAGATAGTCAGCCACTACGTTTTGGAGGTATAACGGGACGCCGTGGTGTACAAGAGCCTGCCTGATGCAAGCCCATGGTAGGCTATTAAAAGCATTTTTAATGTCAATAGACACTGCCAACAGTACCCCTCCTCGGGCCACCGCTTTTTCAGCTAGCTCTTTGACCCGTAAAATGGCATCTACCGTCCCTCTTTCGGCTCTAAACCCAAACTGGGTGGTAGCTAGGTTCGGCCCTTGCTCTTCTAAATGCTTGATAAGACGCCTAGCGATAATTCGCTCCAGTAACTTGGCTATCTCATCAAGCAATACTATAGGACGGTACCCGGAAGGGGAGTCTGGTGGTCGCCCCTCCTTCCTTAATAGGACTAAACGTCCACATTTCCATTGCGCTGGAAAGCGCCCCTGCTCAAGACAGGCGTCAAAGAGCCGCTTTACTCTGCCCCCAAGGGTCTCTTCGGCCAGCGCCCATGCCTTTCCCGAGAGTCCGTCTGGACCCGGGGCCACATTCTTCCGGCGCATTCTTAGATAGGCTGCTCCAAGTTCACCCTCTGATATAAGCTCAGGGAATACCTATATTATCCCCTATAAGTAGGTAGTACGTTTAAAATACCATGATATGTAAATAATGTCTAACAGGTAATTGTATGAACGACACTAAAATGTTTATGATAACCTTTTTGGCACTGATTTTATATCACTTTAATTTGTAACAAGTTTATCAAAATAATACTGGGTGAAAACAATCAGGAAAAGTTCTGTATTACAAATTCTGTTTCATTTGTTAGAAAAATACACAGCCAGTGTCAAGTAGGTATCTATAATAATAGTTATTCAAGTAAAAATGAGATTCAATAAATATTAAAAGGAACAAAAACGGATTAATGATAGATGCGAGGCACTTACTGAAACCTTATTACAGACTTGAAAAGTGATGTTGTTTTTATTGTTGATGATAATAATCGACGATTATTACACACACATTAAAATTATATTTTTTAACATTTTAGAAAATAAAATAAAACTGATATACATGACGCTTTAGTTTAAGCCAAGAAGTCCTTTTAACTTCACAAGGCGAACTGCAATGCGTGCTCTTGTATGTCATTCCACTTAAATTTAAGTTTTTTTTTATTTTTTTTTACCGACGTATTGCAAATGAATCGTATAAATATGGATTAACGTCAAACTGTGCTGCTAATTTTATAAATTTTAGCACCGATTAGTTCCTCGACATTCACATATTTAATTCATTGAAAAATATACAGAGCTCTAAATACTATGGATAATAAACGATACCTGCACTAGCTAACCCACCAAAAACAATGTGATAACCGAACCAGTCGCACTGTGAAAAAGATGTTACCTAGATCATAATATGTAGAGCCAAGCCACAGAATAAGTAATAGTACAGGTTGCTAACTCCACTCGCGCTAATTGTACACCTTAGTCAAAATAATTATGTATACTAAAGGGTAAACAATTTATTAGAAAATCAATTATTACATTTCATTTTAACAATAAGTATTGAAAAAATAAATAGGTACTCGAGGAATCCCTAGAATATTTTTTTGTCAAATCGTGACTGCAAAGTGCTGAGTTATATGAAAAAAGCAAAGAAACATCTGAGAATTGAATTCTAAACAAACCGTAAGATAATATTTATCCAAAACCGATTCTTTTTACGTTATTTTGTATGTATTTATATTTTATTTAGTAAAACAATATTGATCTGCTAATTGACAATAATAACACTGGCTATTGGTATAAAAAGACGCGAAGAAAGAAACAGTTTGTATTCAAATTTGGAACTGTAGACTTCTTGTACACAAAAAAAGCAAAATGGCCGGCGTCAAAAAAGTTATTGCTATGATTTTGTTGGTGTGTTTGGTAGCCACATTGTGCAGAGCTGATGAAAGGAAGGCAGAGGATGAGAAATCAGTTCATCAAGTCGAAAAGCGATCCTTGAACCACCAAGATGGGGACGGAAGCGAGTTTGTTGGAGAGGAATATGAGAATAGTTTCGAAAGGCCACACAGAATACGTATCATGCCGGGATATCTCCACTAAACGAAACCGAAACAATCACTAACAAATACCTACAGGGCGTGCAATGGTATAACTTTTAATTAATTTGTATAATCAGTATTCTCAATGATTAACCTAGATAAGAATATTATGTTATAAGACGTATCAAAAATAAAAGGCTTTTGCATAATAAAATTGTCTTTTAATATATTCAAATGGCACAAAATAATCATTATTGACTGGGCATACAATCTTTATTTTTAAGTAGAGTTAGTAATCAAATATTGTCCTTCTTATAGGTACTATTCAATTATTTAACGTGTAAAAATAATGCTAATATTATAAAAATATGTTTATATGTACTTCAGATTACAATACAGTGTGAGTCACGTTAAAGTGTACATATGGAAATAGATGAAACTAGACCAATTTTTATCGACAAAAAAGAGGTCAAAATTTTTTTGAGATTTTTTTTTAATTTTTTGTAGATTTTTTTTTCTTCCAATTACTTATTGTAAAGAAAACGTAATAACTTTTAAACTAAGCGGTATATCCTGATAAAATAAAAACAGTAATAATGCTAAATAACAGGCGATACTAAAAAAATACATAAAATACACAAAAACTGCCAACAAATAATAAAAAATGATACTTTTTGAAAAAAATCTGCTTTTAAATTCGTGTTTTTTTGGTTATTTGACAAATTTCTCCAAAAAATGCCCCTATAATAGGTGGTTTTTATTACTTTGTATTATTCTCTATCGTATTATCTTTGTAAAACCAAAAATTGCATGTCTCTATCCCTATCACAACATTTGCTATGATCGTTTGAACAAAGGCCTGCCACAACATTATTCTCCGCTACAGGTAGAGACAATTTTAATTTTAACTAAAATGCTTATTTTACTTCAAAATCTTTTGTTTTTATTTGAAATCTAACTTGTCTTTATCAAAATTACAAATCTAGAGCCATTTTCAGTTTCGTTGTTAACGAAGCGTTGAATGGCGCGCCCGGAAAGGCTTATTTCAAACGATCATTGCAAACGTTGTGATAGGGATACAGACATGCGATTGTTGGTTTTACAAAGGTAAGACGATAGAGAATAATACAAAGTAATAAAAACCACCGGTTATAGGGGCATTTTTTGTAGAAATTTATCAAATAACCAAAAAAACACGAATTTAAAAGCAGATTTTGTTCAAAAAGTATCATTTTTTATTATTTGTTGGCATTTTTTGTGTATTTTATGTATTTTTATAGTATCGCCTGTTATTTAGCATTATTACTGTTTTTATTTTATCAGGATATACCTCTTAGTTTAAAAGTTATTAGGTTTTCTTTACAATAAGTAATTGGAAGAAAAAAAAATCTATAAAAAATTTAAAAAAAATCGCAAAAATTTTTTGACCTCTTTTTTGTCGATAAAAATAGGTCTAGTTTCATTTATTTTCATATGTACACTTTAACGTGACTCACACTGTATAATCTTCATTTCAAAACCCAGTCATGTTTTGAAATGAAGGATCAACTCGTTAAAACAATACACAATGAACTTTCTTTCTTACTTTATTGTGTAGGTATCTAAAATGTCAATGTTAAAAATGATTTTATTTTAACATTAGACCTGCTAGATACAAACCAGCTGAATAATAATTCAGGATATGAAAACATAGTATTTATTTTTGATACTTTTTCGTTGTCAGGTCTACCCTAGCGTCTATGCTAGACGGCGTCTAGCAAGCTAGAATAAAACTAAGTATAGGTTTCATAAAAACTTTAAAATCCAAAGTATGAAGAACAAAAATAAAACTTTAAACTTAAGTATAGGTAAGTATTTTTGATTTCCCTTATTAAGCCCTTAAAACCAATTTTATATCTCGTGTTGTATAGAACTGAATTACAACTTTCTATAAGTACTTTTATAAAGTAACTAGCTTTCCATACGCGGCTTCGCCCGTGTGAAAAAAGGGCTGTTTTTAGAGTTTTCCGAAAATTATTCGAACTTTTCTCGCTGTAAAACTATCCTTAAAAAACTTCAACGAACATTAAAAAAAAAGTATTGGTAAAATTGGTCCAGGCGTTGTTGAGTTATGCACTTACACATTTTGCGATTCATTCTTATATTTATTATACAGGGTGTTAGGTGAATGAGTTCACAAGCCGACACTAGCCCCTGTTAATATAAACCCATTTAACTACTTAATGTAGATTAGGTATGTACGAAAACGGTGTGCAAAGAACATCAAGGTAAGTACGTAAGTCATGGTGTAGCGAGACATACTTATTTACTACAATACTTATCAATATTTAGATCAATTACAATATTAAATTCTTCAGTGTATGTTCACAATAGACAGTCATTCTAAAATACAGCCAAAAGAACTGTATGAAATGAAACTTAAATCTGTTGTTAAGAAAATATTGCTATAGTCGTTTCAAAATAAGGGTTTAACCCTTTAACTAGTAATTAGTCTAAGGAACAATATTTTACATTCGTTTTAAACCTTATAATCACCTCTGAATTGGAGAACGGTCAGTCCGAAGTAGAAGAAGTAAGTAACATGGGTGTACCCAACTTTGGCTCAGAGGGAATCAAATTCCTGTAGGCAGGTTCCCTCAAATTTAACTTAAAGTAGGTAGGGGCATACAATTTCCTAACATACGATAGTTGGTTAGGTAGTAGGGGCATACGATTTCCATTCAGAAATCAGAAATATTTATTTGCATTGGAGCAGCTGACTTCCCATGCGCCTTCCAAAATGGTTTCCTGGTCCCAGATAGGGGGGGTTAATAGGTCCCCCCGTCTAAACAACGTGTAGGACGTCTTGGTCTTATCTACACTCAGCAGTACTTACTGGGTAGCTACATTACATCCCAGGTTTTAGATGAGCCGACGACGAGTATGGATAGGCCATTCCCGGACTTAAAAAAGAGTACACCCATGAGCAGTATTGCTTGTATTAATGAGCGATGAGTGATCTTAATTCGTGAATACTCTATACGAATATACCTACTACTAACGTAAGTGCGCCTATTAACGACCCCCCAAAATTTGTATTCTATTACCGCCCTATTTTCCTTTCTTTCATAAAAGACATAATAACAGGTTCCAGAAAACACGTTACCTAAAAAATATCTAGATATGTTTATTGCCTATCAAAACGATTAAAGTTTGTGTTCGTAAATAACCAGTAAACGGAGTTATTTGATATTAAATGGGACGCGCCCGCAACGGACGCACTTTTCATACTGACGCGCTCCCAGCTACTTAAGGTGCACCTTGTTATTAATTAGCGATTTTAACACATTTAAAATGAGTATACCAACATGTTTTTGCATAACAATATTAATTCGTACTTTAGTTTCCTTAATAAACCCTCAATATAGCCCTCTCGCTGTATTTTTGTGGCTTAAAAACAATTTTAAATAAGGGCGGTAATAGAAACACTTTTAATAATTTGGTTCCTAATAACGACCCATGGCGTTGTTAGAATTTTGATAACGTTTTTTATTTTAGTATTTATATCTTTAATTACGCATTTAACCTCCATTTTATTATCTTGATCGATTCATAAGAATATTTCACATAATTAAATCAATTAACGCCATACGTTAATTGTCATAGGTTTGGCATAAAACTGCAATGAACATTAAAGAATATCTCTAATAATGTATGGCAATAGATTTTATAAAAACCTGTTAAATTCTAATTAGTACCTATTTGATATAAAATAAAACCTAATAAAAATGATACTTCACTGATCACGTCTTCATTAAAGTAGATATTTTAGTTTGTTACTGATTTTTTTTACGGTCGCTAATAGAATAAAGTAATATTCATAGTGGATTCTATTACCGCCTCATAACTATAACGCCACTTGCGAAGACTTATAAGCCTGTATTTTGTATATAACTAACATTTATGACATGACACCAAACCAATCATGCGTTATCACAACTACTATGTAACTTTTTAAGATCTTTTGAATAATAAAAAAATAATTTAAAATAATTATACAGACAGTGTCCAATTGTTCATAGTTTAAATTAAAATACACAATTACACACAATTAAAATCAACCAAAAACTATTTAAGAATTATAGTCAAATTAAAAATAAAATATTAAATGAAAAATAAATTTTATTAAAACTCAAATACAGTTTAAATAATGACCCCCACTACTCACTAGAACACCGGGTACCGCGTCATCAAGTATAATAGAGGAATTTATTATTCTACTATTTCTGCTTGATTATTTATTTATTTTCGAGAAGCGTGCCTTTTCTCTTTTAATAATAATAAAAATTAACTTAAAAAAAACAAATTTAACTAAAACTAAAAGCAAAACAAATTTAACTTGAAAAAATCAAGTGGTTCCCGAGCCTCTGAGCGGGAATCGAACCCGTGCCTCTTGGAATATACCCAATTGAAGAGCAATATTCTTAGCGGTCGGTAATAGAAACAGAAAAAACGTTAATAGAAACACACCTCGTCTATAGGTCGGTAATAGAAACAACTGCTTTTTCAGATTAAATTGCTATTTATTAATTATTGTGTAATTGTATACTCATTATTACTACTTGAATTCAAAGACTACTTCATCATTGTTATAAATAAATTAAAGTGTATTTTCTATCACCACGTCTTATATCTAATTTTCTAATGTTTATCCGAAGTCAGCTTAAACTGGCGGTAATAGGCGCATTTACGTTAATACCTCGGACCAGTTCTCAGTCTTCGTCCTAAAATTGTCTCCTCCGACTGCTTACTACAGTTATATCCCAGTTGTTCGCATTTTTCGCACAATTCCGACAGGTGTCTTTTCTTCTCATTGGCAGTCCCGCGCCGCTTCTTAAGTTTTGTCTGAAATAAAAATAATTAAAATATGTAAATACCTAACATGACCCAAACAAATAATGTGTTGGAAATAAAAAAGTAACGTAACTTAGTTACATCTCATATTTTTAATTTCTAAGCTATGCTTCAATGGTGAACCCACTATGAATGGGTTCATAGTCCAGCAATGGCGAGGTTCGAACCAGCGTTCCTCGGATCTCGAGTCAGTCAGTCAGTCTGACACTCTGGCATATCTAGGGCAATTTTTCAGGGGGGGCCTGGGACCCTCGCCCTGAAGCAGCGCGGGAGGAGCAGGGATGGTTCTATTATGGTCTTAGGGTCATAAAGTAGGTTGATTTACTACATATTTCTTAGATTTCCTGGGACAGGTGGGCACTGGACCATTCTGGGGTTGGCACGGCCGGCCTATACCATATACGCGTATGTGACATCGATCCAACACGACGGTGTGCGGAAGTATGCATCGTGCGGCTTATGACCGCAGTCTGTGAAAGAACTCTATTTATGTGGTCGCGATCCTCATCAGTAAGGGACCGAGGAAGAAGAAGAAGGCACCGACATGGTCTTTATTGGTTAAACTTATACTGGATAACAGAAATTGTAGTACCTGTCTAAATGGGTAGACTCGGATGTTGCAAATTATGCAGTCCTCAGCGCAGTCGGCCCAGGAGTATGCGCTGGACCAGGATCTCTTGCACTGCGGGCATTTGAAGGCACCAAAGCACCGGTTTTTGCCCTGGTATGGAGTCAGTCCTTTACCCTGGAAGGCAGAATATTGATTCATCATCATTTGATTTTTTACTTCACTAGTTCACCAAGAACTATGCACAAATCATACGCACGTTACTATGCGGTCTCACAGCGGTTTGTATTGTTGATCGAAGAGTTTGAAATTGCTCACTTCTCGCGCGGTTTCTAGGCGTGATGCTTGCAAATAAAATTATGCATATGCTGAATATTAATATAACCGAACTGTCATAGTACGTAGTTTGAGTAAAACTATAATTTAGAACCAAACAGGAAGTAACTAGTTATCGTTTCCCAGTATTATATAGCTGGTCAAGCCAAACCGCTGCGACATCTGGTGTTTGAGCAAAAAACTTTTCATCGTTGACTTCTAACTTCTTACGCTTTTGCATTAAGGTGCTATTTGCAATAGAAGTGTATAATTTAATGCGCTGGCGACTGTACACTAGGCATTTTTATGACCATGGAAAATGGCATTTTATTAATAGTAGTAATATATTTGGGCATTTCTACGGGGACGACCGATCGACCTACTGGGGCGAAAAAAGTACCTTTAAAATTGAAGTACGGACTTAAAAAAAATCACACGTATTTATAGGACTCTTGACTTGATGGAGAGCATATTTAGAAGACCGCCAGGTTTTACATCTCGCCTTGAAAAAATCCGAAAGTTCAAAAACGGGCGAAATTTAGCCTAAAAAGGAGTGTCCGGTTTCCAGAATTTACTCGTTTTTGCTTCATAACTTTTGAAATAATAACTTCCCCATTATGAAACCCACATTCACAGAACAAGGGATAGTTAATAAAGCTATATAAATGAGTTTCTTTATTGCAAGTCCTTGGGTTTTAATACAGTAACACATTTAAATTTTGTCCGACGTGTGTGCCTCAATTCCGTGATTTTTACTTTTGTGCTCCTATATCACTAACAACGCACAATACGAACACCCACGCCTGATTCCCATAAACTAGCAGTTGCACTCGAGTGGTCGAGCAGTATAAAAGAGGGATCAGTCGCTTTGAGGAGCATTTTTCAGAGGTTTGAAATCACTCAGAATTTTTGGTCACTGGTCATTTCTCAAACCGGTGTGCGATATTAATAATGTTCATGAAGTATTTAATGAGATTACTGCTGAATTAATTAAGTATTTAACTGATATCTGCCATTACGTTTGGTAGAAATCGTTGTAATTTATAATATTTTCGAGTAATTTGATGAAATGTGATTTTTCCTCAATTCCGTGGATCTCAATTCCGCGGAATATGGGGCATCGAATTGAGAAAACACGTACACCGAATTGATATTAAATGAAAATAGATACTTTTATTGTGCTATAAATTGTTTGTGTAACTTAAAATAATAATGAAATCAATAGAGCATAATAATAGGGTGAACTACCAATCATTGGACCGTACCAGTCATTGGACAGAAGACAATAAAACTAATTTTTTGAGGTTTCATTAAAAAAAATACACTGCTATTGCTATCTTATTAAAATAATTCTTCCAGGTTCTTCCCTCGACCTTCACCAGATCGTCGGTCTACCTAGTGGGGGCCTGCTCACTGGTCCGTGGTTTCCACTCGACAACTTTTCAGTCCCAACAGACATTATCTGTACGAGCTATGTGCCCCGCCCACTGCTACTTGATTTATGCAATTTTACGGGCTATGCCGGTCACTTTGGTTCTCTTGCCGATATTCACATTTCTGATTCTTATTAGGCTCATAGTAAGCGACCAAGTTTCACATCCATACACCATCACTGGCAACACACACTGGTAGAAGACTTTTGTCTTAAGACGCTGCGGTATTTCAGACGTAATAGCGAAGCTTCCCGATCGATGCTTAGCTGAGTTGAATTCAGCGATAGACCTCTTTCTCAAAGTTGGACCTAACTATCTGGACTCTTGTCCCAGGTATACACAATTGTCAACAACTTCGAGTGTAGTCTCCAACCTTCAGAGGAGTGGGTGCAACACGGACATTTGACATGATTTTTGTCTTGTCCATGTTCATTTTGAGACCCACTTGTTGAAAGGCTCTACGGAGGCCATGACTCCGATATCATCCCCGATATCGCGACTCCTTGGTCTTCTGTATAATCTGCCGTAGCGTACCTGTGTGTGTACCATAATACTAAAGCCTTTTCGGAAACAAGCTTGTTCGGAAGACTGGAAGTCGTCGAGTCTGCGAGCGAGATGATTCGTAAGGACTCTCGAAAACAGCTTGTAAACACGCCTCATAAGTGAGATGAGTCTATAATGCTATCACCACACTTCTGTGCCATGCCGGAGGCGTTTTTTCTTCGAGAATGACGGAATTGAACTGCTTCTGTAGAGCCTTTAGTACCGGCGAAGCTCAGCTATAATGCCGTAACACCTGGTGCCTTGTTGTATTTCAGCTATTTGAGTGCCATTTTAATCGTGTACAAACTGACGTCCGATATAATATCTTCGGTATAGTGTCAGGTCAATCTAGCTCTTGGGTTTTGCAATATTTGTTTTATGTTTAAGGTTAAGAATAAATAAACAAAGAGACCCTGTGTTATGTATTTATTTGTTTTATTTAAATAAAATTAAAATAATATATAAAAATTAAGAATTTATTATAGTTCCTTATTAAAAATTAAACATATTGATTAGGATTTTTGTTTTATTCCATTGGTATTTCAGACACATAAACCTAAAATGAACCATCTAACTAATAGACCAGCAATCAGATATCAAAACGTTTTAAGTATTTATTATATTAATTATTGAAATACATTAGGTATTTCTTCATAATATCATCAATTCTAAGTTTGCGGAGCGATTTTTATATTTGGAGATTCATTTCTCAATTCCGTGATTCATTTTCTCAATTCGGTGCTCTCTCAATTCGATGCTTAACATTTCTCATAAACCACTTCACAATATTTAGTGACAATGCTATTTTTACATTCAGAATGGAGTAACATTTATTTTTTTGTATTGAAACTACTTAAAAAACTAAATATAAATTTTAGCACCGAATTGAGAAAAAATACACCGTACAGTAGAAATGCCCATTTACTAATAAGCAACTAATATTTATAATCAACAACATCAAAAATCGTAAAATATCCAGCAAGGTGCGCATGTAAAGTGAAAATAATTGACGATTAGTCCCTCGTAAATTAATAAAGAGTGTAACTATGTACTTACCGGCATTATGTATCAGGAAGTGTTATAAATTTGAACAGTAGCACTAAATGACCTAATTTTTATTTAAATTAACTACGTTATTTTGATCACCTTTCAGACCGTGCTGTTTCAACTAACACTCGGTTCATATAACACACGCGCTGACGATGTGAGTCCTATACAAAAATTTTGCAATTTGTATTCTAAGAAGGTAATGCGATATGATAAGAAGAAGTGATTTGATATTGGTGTGCCGGTGTGGCCATACAAATCGCTATTGTTACCTACTACCACAGGTAACTTATTATTTCTAACTAGGTACTATTTCTACTAATAATAATAAATAAATCCTACTACTAATTAATATTAAAAATGCGTTTGTATGAATGTCTGGATGTTAACATGTTTGTTTTTCTTTCACGCAAAAAATACTGTAGATTTTGATGAAAGTTCACAGTATTATTGTTTAACACAGAATAACTTTATAGGCCGCTATATTTTAAGACGATCAGTTTCTGTGATAAAATAAATTTTACGAGGGGAAAAACGCGGGCAAAACTTATTAGGTAATTAGTAAATATTTATTTTCCTTTTATTAAATGGTTTTCTTATAACTTTATGACCGATGTATTCAAGATTACAAGCCTGTGCCAGGAGACACCGCTCTTCCTTTGAATAATTATTTAAGTGATTGATTTTTTACTTTACTTTTGGTACGTATTTTAAATATGATTTACTTATTTTCTTTTTAACCGTCACCATTTCTCGACTAATATCTGAAGAAAAGTAGTAGCGACTGAAAATCAGCGCTCGCGCTGTCTTTTTAGTCCTTATCAATTTTTTACGAGCTACTAATTCAATTTATAATTTTAAAGCATTAAATGATTATTACTTAATGTGCCGTCGTCTGACCATGAATTTATACTTAGTACAATTTCACGCGTATATCTTAATATCTAGGAAAAAGCTGTACTTTACGTAGGTAATGCAATGCACAACATCATAACATGATCCGTCAGAAACAAACATTTATTTGGCTAGAAAAAGTCATAAATATTTTATTGCATAAAAATACATTATCAACTATCTCGGTTTTATAGATTTTTCTGAAAGTAAACCAGTAATTATATTGTTAATTTATACTATTTCTGCTGGAAGTAAATAGTATTTATGGTAATATTTTAGATAAGAGTTCTGGCAACATCGTATTCGTAGCGATCGTCCTCGAACATTGGGGGATTTACCGGCTTTGTTTGTTGGCAAAGATAATGTAAGTACAGATATACCAGATGATAGATCGATAGATAGCCGATGAAATAGTGTGGAAATCAGTAATACTAATATTAAATAAGATTAATAACTTTCTTGTTTGAATTCTTTGACGATAAATCTAATTAGCTTATATGTAACTGCCAATTTTTATTGTTGTCTAACAAATTGTATGCTCTTTGAGCGGAACATAGTGATACTACTACCTACTGTAACATGTCACCATTTTACCTATGATTCACAATAAGTAATTTTGTATTTGTATTTGTTTAATTTTTACCACCGCATGATTTGAAAATAAATAAACACACTATTTTGTATACATGGGTTAGTAGAAAAGATATCGAAATAAAAGATTTTTATAAATGTGTAGTTACAATACAATAAAATGAAAATGTAATATTTTATTCAAATAGGTATTTAGGTACGGTTTGTCAAAAGTGAAATGCTTTTCTGCTCTGTTCTCAACTTATTCTTTAAGTATGATGTCATGATGTCAAAGATAGATAAGTAAATGTTGATTTTATAGCAGATTTTTGATATGTTATGATTGATTAATTTAACACGCAAGATGAGGGACGCGTAGTTTTAAGTAAAATCATTACAACTGTTAAAAATAAAAAATAAAGTATAACCAACAGTAAACATTTAGCAACATTCTTCTTTGTAATTTTTAAAGGTCATCATCTTTATTATTTCAGCCATAGAACGTCCACTGCTGAACATAACCCTCCCCCAATGATCCATAATGTAATTTTATGTAATTTTTAAAAGATATTAAATTCCAAATGCAACAGTAGGTAGGTAGGTAAGGAAGGAATGATGGACTAAAAAAAAAGTTCTAAGCACTTTTAGTTATAGTAATTCCATGTATGCGTGTTTGTCTTGTTGGTTGTCCTAATAAATAAAATAAAATAAATAAAAATAAAATAAAAGTTTTTATTTCAGGCATGATCCATTAACGACAAATTAAAATAAAATTACACATAATAATAAGGAAATTTTGTTGGCTAGGTAAAATAATAAGAAAAATGTACTGTAAATAATTATATTTTTTAGACTGAGTTGCACCATCTAACTTTGACCGTACTATAATGATAACCGGTGGTTTTTGTATGTAGTTTAACAGATTTTCGACGTTTGTCAAAGTTAAAGTAAGATGGTGCAACCCAGCCTTAGAAGTGTAGAGCACCTAGACAATTAACATTCTTAACAGATTCAGATTTGTGATCGCTTCGCGAGTAAAGTTTATAAAAGCAATAAAAAAAAATGATTCTAGCGCTTTGGTAATTCAGTCAATACCTGTGGTATGGCAGCATCACGGGAGGGTGTTTTTGTAAAATGACGTTTGATGTACAAACGTCATTTTTCCTCAGACACTGACCGAGTTAGCGCTAAGTCCATCGCCATCAACAAATGAAGAAGAAGAAGAGTTAGTGCTAGAACTATAGTAAAACGTCACTTTCTCAAAATCTCCGCGACCTACAGCATCTTCCGAGTTGCTTGCATTTCTCGCAGAGATGGGACAAGTGATTCTTGTCCAAGTCGCTCTTGTCCAGCAGACCGTCCGGCTTCTCCAAAGGTGTCTGAAATATTAATGATAGATCGCCCGGAGTNTTTTTTGAACAAAATTTGTAGAGAATTTAGTATTCTACAATATTGATAATAAATACAAATAGCAAAAAACCCATAGGAAATGAGATATTTCCAAAAAAAGCGCAAAAAACCGATTTTTGTGACCTATGACCTTAAAATTTAATAGTTGCTTACACCCTACCATATGTAGGTTTTGAGACAACTTTTAGGGTGTCAATATACAAGTATTTACAGACTTACAGCTGGGTATCTCTAATTCCGAGATTCTTACCTAATTTAAGCTTAAATGACTGGACTATATGTAGTTGCAATAAGAGCGATTTCGCAACAAAAGTAGATACCTACTTGTCTCTTTGTTTCGTAAGACTACACTCATATTATTATGTGCTTTCGACTGTTCGCTGTAAAGTAATCAATCCGAATTATTTTGATCACTTACAAAATGACATTAACATTTATGGCAAACAAAAAACTGATCACCGTTACCAGTTGTCAAACCTTTGTCCAGATATTAATAGTAGCAGCCTATTGTAACCACGGCACCTCAAGCTTAACTCTTGTGTCTAACTCAGTTGTAATAAAAGCTATTTTGCGACAACAATGTAAAGTGTGATATGCTGTCGCTGTATGACCCTAATTTGGATACACAATCGATATTACAATGCATATATGGATGCTGATTCTTCCGGAATCTGATATCCTGGGTGTGGCATAACGTGGACAGTTGTCTAAATTACTTTTTAATAGGCAGGTGGTTCTATGTAACTGTTTTTACAAATGCATTTTTTAATAACAATATTAGAGGTAAATTGTAATTTGTATTGTACAAAAAATTACTAATAGTCCAGTTATCCCCTCGGGCTAAGTTAAATTGTAAGCTTGTGTTACGATTAGGTTTACCACAATAGACTAGCGGCGATGAGGTTCCAACTACCGACCAAGACTTCAGCAAGACTGGACTCAGTAGTCCGATACCAACACTTTGGGCTATTGTCGCCTCTAATTCAAATGAATCTGTAATTTCTAAGTCTCATCATAATACCTGCTTACTTACCCGGTAAATATTTTTTGGTCATAGCGAAGAAATCACAATTCAAGATCAAAATCAATTTATTGTTTCAAATAAAAATACGATCTGAAACAATCTGCTCCTTGTGTTAGCCAGGCTTGGGCAAACCTGATAAAAATACCACACAAACAATACAAAACTTCAACATTGAAGTGATCTGAGTCACTTAATGTTTTTTGTTACATTTAAGATTGTCTTGAAGCTTTCCAATAATAGCTTTACTCTCAAGTCACGAACGCGTGTCGGATGAGTAACTGCATCTGTTACAAATAGATTATACTGATTTGCTGAATCATCCCAAATGGTCCAAGTTACTGTCAAAACAGGAGTCGGCCACTACTTTTAAGCAGGGCAGTTAAAAACCGCACTTACGCCCGTATTCACAAACATTACTATGAGGTCTCGTGGACGCACAGGTTGACACACGAACCAATCACAGAGCTCTATTCAACCATTTTGTGCAGCCTACCTACTTCCTAATATTCCCGTATCCCACCAGCTAAACACAGGAGTGTCAGGATCTCAGGAGTGACTTGAATTGCTTGACTTAAGGTCCTATGTCACCTAGATGGGGCAGAGGGCGTCCACAACAGTCCTCCATCGCGTTCGGTCTTGAGCTTCGCGTTTGATCTCGCTCCAGGTCCTGCCGATTTTCTTCGCCTCGTCTGCTAACTCAGGAGTGGGTTCACCACAATAGTCCAGTCCAGTGGTCGACGGGGATTGAATGACCTCTTTCCTCGGATTTCAAATTGGCAACTTCGCTATGTCAATATTTATGTCGCAGTCGGATTGTATAATCCGCCGTTTTACATTACCACTAGGCATTTTACATTACAGCTCTGTTTTGTAATACGGCGGTTCAACGTTTAGGCGGATTGTCATTGCGATACGTTCTTCAATACGGCGGCCCACGTTTAGCCGCATCGTACTACTACAGATTGTAGGGTGACCATACTTACAAAATAAAACAATGTTTAATGAAAATAAATTTTAATAAGACAGATTTTAAGAATTATTACCTTCGTTACTGAATACTAAATAATATATTTGGCTTCAGTAATTTTTTTACTTATTTATAAATCACAAGGGATAGCCATCTAAAAAAAAGTAACTCAAAACAATTAGACTTTTCTAAAAATTTTAAGAATTAATTAGATATTTGGCTTTAGTCTTTTTTAGACATTAAAAATGATCAAAGGGAACAGGTAACTCAAAACTATAAAGTTTAAGTAATTTTTTCTGGGTTATTTTTCTTTAAGATAAAATTATCTTCACCGGCCACAGCCATGATTTCATATTTTTACACTAATAATATTGTGTAGGATTCCGCCGAACACCAGAATCCATAGCCACTTTGTCCGGCAGCGCCACGGTACTTAAAATAGGAACTAAAAACTGTCAAAGCGGCGGGTAATGACACGCTGTTTTACATTATG